GGTCCCGCCCCTCCCGCCCCGCCCAGAGGCCGTCCCAGCTGACCAGAGGTGCCCCTGCCACCAGAGTCTGATGGTGGGGCGCTTGCGCGTTTCTTAAGGCGTCTTAGCATTGCCCGAACCTAAATGAGGGGGAGAGGGAACACTACTTTCTACAAATCCAGATTCCGCCGTTATACGTGCTGTATGAGAGCCAGTTTTGCTTTGTGGTCGTGACAACATGGATTGTCTGTCCTTGATGTGGCCTAAGGGGCCATGTTTTCAGTTAGGCGCTCTCCGGGCAGCCGGTCTCCTGGCGCGGGGTCCTTGCGCTGCGCCCTGGGCCGGCGAGAGGGGAGGCGGGGTCCTTTTCTAGGTCGGTCGCGCGGGCAGGGGTTGTAGGCAGCTCGATCCGGGAGTCATGTATTACAAGTTTAGTGGCTTCACGCAGAGGTTGGCTGGAGCATGGGCTTCGGAGGCCTATAACCCGCAGGTACAGATCGCGGCGCACCGGTGTGGACGGGACAAGTGGCCCAAGCTCTGAGCCAGGCCGTGTCAGCGTCAGAGGGGCGTCTGCCGGTGCATCGGTTTGGTTCGCTCGCACCTGCTGGTGCCGTTTCCCACGGGCCCGCAGCGGTCATCCGGGCTTCTGTTTGCGTGCCTGTGTCCTGGGCGAGGTTGGCCTGGCGCAGAAGTTGGGTGTGTCGCTGTGCACGGGTCAAGGTGACCCCGGGATTTTTGCTTGTTTAAGATGGATGACTCGTGACTCTGGTCTGACCGAAAATATGACCCATGTGAGTGTGAGATGCTGCTGCTTGCTCGCTGTTTTTGAAGTCTGGCTCGGCCTTGCTGACATGCCGGTGTTAGTCCCAGCCGCAGCGCCGAAGTCAGAACATCTGAACAGGAGATCGGAGAGCGTGACTGCTCCTGAAGTCCTGGGGGCAGGAAGGGCCGTATGGTCTGATCTGAATTTGGCAGATTTAACTGGTTCTTCGAAATTGCTGGCGGAGCGTAGACGTCACATGCAGCAAGGTTACACTTTCTCAGCTGTAAGGTGGTTAGCAATACTCGTTATTTGGGTAGGCTGAAAAATACTCTGATTCCACTCAAATCTACCAGTTGATATTTCTATCTTGGGTAGAATTAAAATGAGATCTACTTTAAGAGTCCCACTTATTTTTGGCTCGAATACTGACTTCTGCTGTTTTAATTATGTGACCTTGACCAAGTTACTTTTTCTTTTTTTTTGTGAGCAGTTTCAAACGGGAGCTTTGGGCTAAAAACTGGCGTATTGAAATAAAACTTGCACTCAGAGTAGGGATTACGTTAAGATGCATTTGGTTATAGATAGGACTTTCAGACTTCTAGCACCTCTTGAATTGTGTTTCACTTGAGAATTTGAATTTCTTAACAGATTTCTTAGCCTGGCACTGTGGCACAAGCCTGTACTTCCAGAATCCTGGGATGCAGATGGAAGGAAGATCCAAAGTTCAAGCCCCGCCTCTCCAAAAAAAAAACAAAAACAAAAAAACACGCCGGGCGTGGTGGCGCACGCCTGTAATCCCAGCACTGGGGAGGCTGAGGCAGGAGGATCCTTGCGAGTTAGAGGCCAGCCTGGGCTACAAAATGAGCTCAAGGCCAGCCTGAATTGCATAGCGAGACCCTGTCTCAAAAAGACAAAAAAAAACCCCCAAAAAACAAAAAACAGATAAAGTTCAAGCCCAAGTGGGGCAATTTAGTGAGGCTCTGTCTCAAAGTAAAATTATGAAAAAGGGGGGCTGGGATTGAGTTTAATACAAAGTCCTTGGGTACTGAAAAAAATTTAAACTATGTTAAAAGAAACCATTTGTGTAGGCTTTATATGAATTGTAGATTTCAGATGATTGTTACAGCTCTCCACCCCGATTAGATGTGTTGATTTTGGTAATTGGGAGTATCTAAACTTTTCCTTTTTTGGAAATATTAACACATTATAATATAAGATGTTTGTAACTTTTAGTATTCTGCAAAGTGAATAACCTAATATGCAACCAGTAGCCTAATAGGGAGAAGGTAGTTTTGTAACACTACAGAGTTGTAAGCCAAGTTGTTGGAAAGTAGTTATTGGGAGAGTATTCGCCAGTGATTAATTGAAAAGAATTTTCCGTATCCTTCTCTGTCTTTTTAATTTTTTTTAACCTTTCTGTGTCTTGTGCCAGAAATAAATTGAGGTCAATAAATACATAAGATGTCTCACATCATTTATCATTAAGGGGCCGCAAATCAAAATGAAGATGAGAAACCGCTTCCCCAAAATGTCTCCAATCAATATAGTAACAGACAAGAGCAAGTAGTATTGTTGAGGCTGTTGAAGAACTGGAGTCCTTTTGAATTGCTGGTGAGGATATAAAATGACACAGCCACTTTGGAACAGCTGGGCAGTTTTCTTAAAAGAGGAAACATGAAACATACTTTTCTTATGTGACCCAGCAGTTCCTGTCCTAGTTTAGACGGCAGGATGAGATTCTGGGTGCAGGGAGCGGAGAGGAGGGGAAGGGGGCTGGGAGAGTCACTGAGGCAATGAGCTCGTCTGGATGGTGCAGGTGGGTCTCGGAGGGCTTAATTTTGTGAGAAATGAATAGGAGCTTAGTAACTTGGTGCAGATACTTGTGGTAGGGTTTGTCCCGTTACTGGTGAGATTGGGAATGAAGAAGAGACTGCAGAATGGCAGGAGAATGGAAGGGTGGTGCCTTCCACAGAGACGGATCTACTGAGGGTGCTTGTGAGTGCTTTGGATATGTTCAGTGCAAGGTGTCGGGACAGAGAGATGATGATTTCCACCTTGCAGTTGGAGATGAATTGATTATTGTGGATTGAAATTAGTTTCCAGTCCTAAGTCAGAGAGTGAAATGGTTCATAGGTTTCTGAAAGTAAATTTTGCTGGGCAGCTGAGTGTGGTGGCTCACGCCTGTAATCTCAGCACTTGAGGGGCTGAGGCAGGAGGATCGTTGCAAGTTTGAGACCAGCCTGGGCTACCAAGTGAGCTCAAGGCCAGCCTGAACTGCATAGCCAGACCCTGTCTCAAAAAGACCAAAAAAAAAAAAAAAAAGTTGCTGGACATGGTGGTGCATGCTTGTAATTTTGTTTTTTTTGCATGCTTGTAATTTTGCAGGGAGACCAGTTAGGAGGACTTGTAGAAATCAAGGGGCTTGGACTAGAGTGTAGATGGGAGAGAAGTGGTTAGATTCTGAGCATATTTTGAAGGTAGAGCCTAAAGGATTTGCACTATGAGAGTGACAGGTGTCAGTAATTGCAAGGTGTTGAGCCTGAGTACCTGGAAGGATGGTATTGCTGGTGACTGAAATGGTGAGAGACATTGAAAGTTCACAGTTTAGGTTGGGGCAGCTGCAGCCCTGAAGTCAGCATAGGGGTTTAGCCTGGGTCCCTTCCTGAATGCATAAGCGCCCTGTCCGGTGCACTCTTGAGAAGCCTAGTGCTGGTGAGCTCGCTGCCCTGAAATCCTGGGAACACTGACGGCTTTGAAGTTGTTGGGTGTTTCTAATGGGTCGGTGAGGCGCCTCCCACCATACTCAGTGCTTTTATCTGTGGGGCCACACAGCTGAGTTATTGATAGCACGGGTAGTAAAAACGTCTGAGCCCCATCTTCCTTTCTGTACCACGGACTGATAATACTTCAGTTATAGGGTCATTGTGAAAAGTAGATTTAGTGCCATTTATGAAGATTAGGTAGGGATATGAAAAAATGATTATTATAAATGAAAAAGCGGAATATAGACTAGAAAGTCATTAAAATAAGGAAATGGAAAGGGGTGCGGGGAAATTTACAATTCAGAATAGTTGATGGGATAGGATCATAGGTAACTTAAAAGTTCTATATTCTGAACTTTTATAATGTTATAGCCTGCCTGGCAAGCGCAAGGTCCTGAGTTTGATTCCTGCTACCAAAAAAAAAAATATATATATAATGTTATAAATGGAAATACGGAATTATTTAAAACTGTCAGGATGGTTGATACTCCTGTTTTCAATGATACTGTTCAAAAACTGCCGTATTTTGAATCACTGGGTAGATGAACAAACATAAAGTTAGATGTAATAATCCCTCCTAAAAATGCTCTCCCATGAGTGCTGTCAAAACATGAATTCACTTTCAAACCATCTTTGGAGATGCTTGGTAGAAAGGGTTTTAAAATTTTTACATTTGGGGTAAATGATCATTAGGAGACAGTGCCGTGAGCTCACGGAGTGATCCAGAGAGTCTAACACTCCAGCTCAAGTAGAGATCCTCCGTAGCCTTGCTGTCTGAGGAGCCAGGCCTCTTTTTTTCCCTCTCGGATTCCTCGAGTCTCCTCCTGAGTGGTTATATTCTAAATGCAGGCCAACACTGTATACCACACTTTCTATTTAAGTGGCTTGTGGCTTGTAAGCAGTAGTTGATGGTAGCATGAGGTGTAAGTGGTGGAATACGTAGAGGCCAGGGCAATGGACTTGAGAGAGACCTGAGCTTAAAAACTTGGCTTTGTCTTTTTGCTGTGTGTTCTTAGCCAGGTTACCTTCCCTGATCCAGGTTTTTTCTTCTCTGTGAAGTCGGAACAGTAAATTCTCCCTGTGGTTGCTGCTGGCAGGATCGAGTTCAGTAAAGCTCATGAAGTGCTTAACATGCCCCTGGGAACATAACAAGGACCAGATAGGCATGAGCTGCTGTTACTCTGAAACATTACTGTCCATGATGGTAGAGGTGGTGGCTCTCTTCTTCATTGTATATTTCTAGTACAGAATAAGTGATGAGTAAAGTATCAGCAAAAGTATATGCATCATAAAAAAAGTCAGGCTATTCCCTCTTAGACTGTTGGAAAGAAATAGAAGCTAAATTTGTTTCAATACTACTTTCTTGTTTTGTTGATCTTAATGCCTACCTGGTAGGAGTAGCATTGATTAGTAGGGTTTTTTTGAGACAAGGTCTCACTATGCAGTTCAGGCTGGCCTTGAGCTCACTTTGTAGCCCAGGTTGGTCTTGAACTCCCAGTGATCCTCCTGCCCCAGCCTCCTGAGTGGTGGAATTACAGGCATGTGCCACTAGTCCTGGCTAACAATTTTTTTTTTTAAATATAGGGTCTCACTACGTGGTTCAGGCTGGTCTTGAACTCACTGTGTAGCTCAGATTGGCCTCCAACTGATGGTGATCCTCCTGCTTCAACTTCAGCTGGGATTATAGGCATGTACCACCATGCCCGACTAATATTTATTTATTTATTTTTGGGTACCAGAAATCGAACACAGGACCTCATGCTTGCCAGGCAGGCGCTGCACTGCTGAGCTGTATCCCGGGTCCACATTTACGTTCTTAATACCTGATTTTTAGAATAGGCCTTGTCAATTGTAGTTAAATTTAGGTTTCTTTGAGGAATAAGAACCACAGTGTGGATAACTATATTGCTTTAGGCAAAAGATTTCCTTTTTTATCTGTAAAATGAGGCTGGGTTTGAACTCTACTTTTCAACTTTAGAATTTTACTTTTCCTGGTGAGAATGTAATACAGAAGGATAATTTTAGAGGTGTGTAACGCCTAACTCCTTATTTTAATTGGCAGATGGGTTTGGAGAACCATCTATATATCTGTCACCATAGATGTACTCCTTCAGATCAAAATCCAGAATTGCCCATGGTTTCTTTAAAAAGCCTCACTGAGGGGTAACCTGTACACCATACAGTTCAGCCATCAAGAGTACAGAGTAGCAGTGGTTTAGGTTGGGTGCCGTCGTGTGGCCCCGTGGCCCGCGCTGCTGGGTAGGCCGAGGTGGGAAGATGGCCCGAGCCCAGGGAGTGTGAGACCAGCCTTGGCAATACAGAGAAACCCCCAGGGCAGAACGCTCAGGGTTCTTAGTTTGTTAGTACAGGAGTGCGGCCATCACCGTGGTTACTTTTAGAGCATTTTTGTCACCTTAAAAAGATAGATGTGAGGGCGATCTGGCTGCGACATCTGTCACCCCACTGACGACCAGGGTTGATTCGGCTGGTCTAGCTGGCTGGGGGCGGTCCCCTTCCTCCCTCACCTCTGCACGTGCTTCTCTCCCAGAGCTTTGTGCTCGGTGGAACAGGACGACCGCCTCCGATGGAGGAGGACCATTCCTCGGTCAGGGGTGTACGGGTAGCTGCTGCTTAGTTTTAAAATTTTGTTTCTTGTATTTTGGGTTTTAGTCCTGAAATGCAAGATGTTTTTTCTCATTAGATTGAAATAGTTCTTGTCTTAAGTTACTTTTGTTGTTGCCCAGACAAAATGCCTGACACCCAAAGTTGAAGAAGGAAAGTTGCTTTAGGCTCACAGTTGGTAGGGGGTTTAGTCCACAACGAGCTGCCTGCAGGGCAGGGTGGCGTGTCAGAGGGGCATGGCAGAGCAGGCAGCAGCAGCAGACAAGCTGTGAGAGAGCAGCAGGGAGTGAGTGCAGTAGCCCTCTTTCTGTCCCTTACATTCCATCCAGGCCACCTGCCCTCAGGGTGAGTAGCACTCACCCAGGCGGGGCACCCTTAACCCCAGCATGCAGCATTCATCTCAGGTCACACACCCTGGATCCAGCCACCTCTGAGAAGCCCCGCCTCCACTCCCTGAGGCTTTGCGGGGACCTCTAGACACAGGCTAACAGTTCTGCATGTGCCTGTGGAAGCTTCTGCAGACTGCTCTGGGGCGAGACGTTCCTTGTCAGTACCTTGCTCACTCAGAGAAGAAGAGGGACACCCGGGTCCCTTATGGAATCAGAAAGTTCATACCGATTATAACTGTTTTAGTGGCTTGAAAAGAAGGCAGACACAGCAGGTATTTCTGGAAGCTCAGATTGGGTCTTTGTTACCCCTGCTGTCTTGCTGGTCGGGAGTTGAGGACAGGTTTGCAGTGGGAAAGCAGGTTGGGCTGTTTTGTCAGAAGTTTGAGGACCAATTAAAGGCCTGTAATGCGGGGTTGGAGAGACCCCTTCTGACCCTGGAGTGTGGTTGAAAGGCTGCCTTCACTGCTCCAGGCAGCTGCCTCGTGACAGGTTTGCTGGATGCCTGTGCTTTCAGCTTGCTGCTTTCCTTTCTTGCCCTACAGGGATTAAGGCCCGTGGTTTCCACAGAGGCACCGCCTATCATATTTGCCACGCCTACTAAACTGACCTCCAGTTACCCGACATACGACTACGCTGGGAAGAACAAAGTTCCGGAGCTGCAGAAGTTTTTCCAGGTGAGGGGAGACACTTAGGACTGGGGAGGTCTGTGAAATAGACAGACTTTAAAAGTCCCTCCTGGAGGGGCTGGGGATTTAGCTCAGCGGCACAGTGCCTGCCTGGCAAGCGCAACGTCGTGAGTTCGATTCCCGGTACCAGAAAAAAAAATTAAAAAACCAAAAAATAAATAAATAAATAAATAAATAAATAATCCCTCCTGGAACTGAGTCTTCCTCGAGTTCATTACTCAGCCTTTTTCTTTAAATAGAATTTTCAGCCAGCCACAGTGGCGCAGGCCTGTAATCACAGCACTCCAGAGGCTCAGGCCGGGGGATCACTTCGAGTTGGAGGCCCCTGGGCTACATAGTGCATTCTAAACCAGCCTGAACTGTACATAGCGGGACTCTGGCTCAGAAACCAAAAACAAACAACAAAACAACAGAAAAACCCAAAACCACCCCCCCAACTCCCGCTTTTTTTTTTGTCTTTTTGAGACGGGGTTTTTGCTGTGCAGTTCAGGCTGGCCTTGACCTCACTTTGTAACCAGGCTGGCCTTGAACATGCAGCGATCCAGCCTCAGCTTCTCAAGTGCTGGGATTGCAGGCGTGTGCCACCACGCCTGGCCTAAACCCTCTTAGTTTGAGCCCTAAGTTAAGATTACATGGGTAGATAGAGTAGCAGGGAAGGGTGGTTAGTGCCCTCCTTGTATTACCGGGTGCATAGGTTTGCATTCTGCACAGTGTAGCTGTTGGTCGTCCATTGCGTGGAGAAAGCAGTGGTGTGTAGCATGACGCTTGGAGTCATGCGGTACATCTCTGCTTGTGACACATGGAGTGACTTTTAGCACCAGTTGTCTTTAATTGCTTTTTGTTTGCGTGATATTAACATGCAGAGCTGTGGAAGGAAGGAGAGGAGGCCTAGGGTTTGCCCATCACCTGAGAGAAGCCAGAACTGATGTCTCAAAGAGTACTAAGGTTCACCTACTTAGAGTCATTGAGAACTTAGTAATCTGACTAAATCTTAGGTGTCAGCCGGGCGTGGTGGCACATGCTTGTAATCCCAGCACTCAGGAGGCTGAGGCAAGAGGATTGTTGCAAGTTCGTAAGCTCAAGACCAGCCTGAACTGCATAGCTAGACCCTGTCTGAAAAAGCCAAAAACAAAAAAAAACCCCTTAGGTGTCATGGGCATGGTAGAGCTGCTGCCACTGTTATAGGGTAGCTCCGCCTCAAAAACCTATCCACAGTCAAACTTGTCTCTTGGGGGTAGAGCACTTTTATTCTGATCAGTTTAATCTCTTTATTGGGTAAGATTTTTTTTGGGGGGGGGCGCGTTTCCGGTACCGGGAACTGAACTCACGACCTTGCGCTTGCCAGGCAGGCGCTCTGAGCTAAATCCCCAGCTCCTGTTGGGCAAGATTGAACAGGACATTTGGAGTCTAGAGATGCAGTAGGAGGAGAGGGATTTCAAGATAATGAAATATCTTATGGAATCTGATGGTTAAATGGGGTTTACCTTTTTGGGGGGACAGGTTTACCTTTAATGGAAAGAAGACCGTTGAATATGAAATGTACTGGAACCTAACTGACCTGATATGGTCTTTGTTCTCTCAAGATCAGGAACCAGACTAAATGTAGAACTATCTGGGGAGCATTTTTTGTGGCTGTACTTTTTTATTTAGCTGCTGATGGCCTTTTTATTTTTATTTTTTTATTTTTTGTCTTTTTGAGACAGGGTTTCACTATACAGTTCAGGCTGGTCTTGAGTGCTGGGATCACAGATGTGCACCACCACACCTGGCCCTTTTTTTTTCTTTAAGAGAAAAAAAAATAAAGCAACATTTCAAAACAAGATAATAGGAGGGTAACAATGGTTAATACATTGTGTATGGTGATCTTTAAATTGGTTACTCAGAGTACAAGATAATCAGCATTTAATTGTCTAAACAACATTAGATTAGCACAAACCTTTCTTTTCGGTGGACTAAGAGAAATTTACTGGTAGTCTAACTGTCTTAACTCATATATATATATATATATACTTTTCCCTTCCTTTTTTTCTCCAATCCCCCATCCCAGTTTCTCTTGCCTTTTGAGGTTTCCTCCCATTTTACAATAACTGCTGTACATTTTGGATCCCTTTTACTTTTTTTTTTTTTTTTGTCTTTTTGAGACAGGGTCTTGCTATGTCATTCAGGCTGGCCTTGAGTGCACTTTGTAGCCCAGGCTGGTCTTGAACTTGCAAGGATCCTCCTGCCTCAGCCTCCCGAGTGCTGGGATTACAGGCATGCACCACCACGC